GTAGCATCCTGGTCTCGCGACATGGGAGGGATGGTCTCTCTAATCGAAGGTGATCGAGATTCCGACCAGCTAAGGAAGGAGGGGACAGTCGTCTCAGTGGCGCATGCCTCCCTATAGTGTACCTTGTGCTGGCGCTTAGAGCAGATGGTGTTGGATCCGCCGAAGATCATGATGCATTCCTCCTTTTTTGGCCGCCGCCTCCTTCTTTCGACCCACCGGCCTATCGCAGGAAACGTCTGAGGAGCTCGTAGTTCTTGTAGAGGTGTTTGATAGGGTAGGCGTGGTTGGTGCATGGGCTATCCATGAGCTTGTTGAAGTGGTCAGGCAGGCCCTGCTGGGGCTGCTTGCCCACGCGATCAGCTGCAGCGACCAACGCGGTGTTGTCCTATCGACGTCGATCCTTTTTGTTCTTCTTGCCCCTCTGTGTGGAGGGCCCTCGTCTTGGTCCATGCGCTTGGCCTTGCCTTTGTCCCAGCCTCCATTGAATACCGCTCCGACCGCCTCCTCGCCGGAGGCGTGGTTAGTGGCGACGTCGAGCAGGTCATGGGTGGTCCCGAGAGGAATGTGCTGATGACGTCCGCGTCGACGACATCAGGGAGGGAGTTGCATCATTGGGAGAACCTATGGATGTAATCCTATAGGGACTCGCTAGGCTCCTGCTGGCAGCTCTTGAGGTCCCAGGAGTTACTCAGGGTGGACATACGTCCCCTAGAAATTTCCGACGAAGACCCTCTTGAGGTCCACCCAGTCGTGGATGTTGTCGTGTGGGAGGAATTCAAGCCATGCTCGAACATGTTTCCCCACACAGAAGGGGAGATATTGAATGATGAAATGGTCATCATCCACCCCTCCCGCTTGGTAGGCGAGCCAGAAATCTTCGAGCCAAATACCAAGGTTCGTCTTCCCGGTGTACTTGGCGATGTTGGTGGGCGGTCGGAAGCGCTATGGGAACGACGCTCTCCGGATACACCGGCCAATGGCCCATGGTCCTAGGCCATCCGGGCTGGGACTCTAGTCGTCTGGGCGACGACCATGCCTAGGGCGTGTTTCACCGCTCCCCTCAATGGTCCAACCAGGGGCCCTTATCGCCTATCCTCGCCGCCGCCCGAAGGACGTCATCATCATATCGGGCCTGATGCCGATTGCTGATGACACTACGAGCATCTTGGTGCGGACCGAGCCGTTCACGTACCGGTGGTCGGTGTGGAGCAGGCGCCAAGTCGGACCGTGACGCAGCCGCGGCCTCCCGAGCTGCGCTTAGCGGCTGTAGCGGTGAGCGGATGGAGCGATCCGTCTAGTGCGTCCTCACTCCCCTAGTGGAGAGAGAGGGCATGAGTCAGAGTCGCGATGCAGAGCTTTCCGCTTGTTGAACGGCGGTGGCTTCTACCAGCGCCCGGAGGTTCTGGTAGACCGCCCGCTCCTAGGGGGTCGACGGGCTCGAGAACACCGCGCAGAAGCATTACCACAGCGATGATGTTCTGGCTAGCCCAAGCGAACTGTGGGGGGTCGTTCCCCTCGTTCATGATGTCGCGCTGGACCTAGCGGGCATGACCCCGGGTGCCGCTCGCCGGGTCACACGCATGGGGCGCAACGTGCTGCACCGAGCGCACCGGCGTAGGCGGTGGTAGGTTCTGCCGCTGTTGTCGTAGCTCCTCGGTGTGCTCTTGTGCAAGCGCGAGGGCCCCCGCATGTGGGTCCAGAGGGGTGTGAGTCTACAAAGACTCCACAACCACCGGCGGCTGTCCCGGAGCGTCCGCCATAGCGCACTCCCGAGACGAACGGTAGCTAGGTGCCACGTCGCCGATGCTGGAGCCGTCGCTCTCAACCTCGTCATCCAGGAGTTCGTGGAAAGTGGTAGGAGCATAGCTCGCCATTCCCATGAATTTGGATGTGAGAGGGGGCGGCGCCAGCGTCCTTCGGAGCCACCGAGCGTACGTGTCCGCGGGGGGCACGAGGCCACAGGGGAACCGGTCGTACGGTGTTTGCGGTGCGGACAATACGGTTCCTCCGGATAATCGGCGGGAGATAGTAAATAGAGAGTAAATAATAGTACGCACATTACTCACAGTGGGATTTGAGTAGAGAGTTTGCTCGAAACGAAGCATAGGTGCCTCGTTGTTGAAGTCGTCGTGCGTCCCGAAGCCGATGGAGGGTGCGCCTCCGACGGGCGCCGGAACAAGTACCTCCTCGTGGAGGTATAGTACACCGAGCTGGTCAACGATGAAGTCCAGGCTTTCGAAGAGGAAGGGCTGGGATGGCTCAAAGACGGGCGGAACCCACATCCCCACAGGTGGGAGTGCGGGAAGCTCCAGTGAGCCGAAGCGAGTCGTATCTCTTGAGCCCGCCATGACAAAGGTGGCAGAAAAGTGGGCCATCCGATGACCAAAAAGTGTTGAACGTACAGCATCTTCCCCATGGACGGCGCCAACTGTCGGTGCAGAAAGTGACCAACAAGTAAATATTTGTAATTTTGCTGTACGTCGTGATCGGATGTGGCCTAGCACTCAATGACATAGGGTTTATACTGGTTCAGGCAACGTGCCCTACGTCCAGTTTGAGTCGATCGGTGACTTTATTCCTGAGCTCAGGTGCTCGAAGTTTGCAGTGGGGTTACAAATGAGAAGGAGAAAGATGGCGGTACAAGAGCTTCGGTCGGACTCTGGTCTGAGGGGCTGAGAGTGACGGGAGCTCCGCTATGTGCTAAGTGTTCGAGCATGTGCTTGTGGTTTGAACCTGGTGGTTCTGTTGTTGTGTACTAGTGAACTGATCGATCCCCTTTTGGGAGAAAGCGCATCCCCTTTTATAGATGAAGGGGATGGCCTTACAAGAGACAGAGAGAGAGAGAGTATGTATGCTAAGTCTTGTTGCCCACGCCATCGGGTATAAGATGATTATAGGCGCCCACAACACTGTTAATGTCAGATGCATGTGGAAGGTTGCATCGTCTTCTTCCGGTATAGCAAATGTCGGTGCCTGCTATACTGTTGATGCCCAGAGGCATGCGAGGGGTTCTACCGTGTTTGCCTGGTAAGGTAAATGTCAGCGCCCACAACACTGTTGATGCCCAGAGGCTTGTGGGGGGAGCCTTACCGTGTTTGTCTAGTATGGGAGTTGATGTCGCCTACAACACTGTAGGGTAAATATCGGCGCCCACAACACTGCTTAGGCTCTGATATGTCAGGAAGGTTGTAGGTACCCTTCTAACATGCCCTGTTGGTATTGTTCTGCAGGTACATGGTACGTTCCTTGGTATTGCGGTTGACTTGAGTGTCCTGCCTTACTTTCTTCGTCTGTTTCCTGGTCCTTACCGAGCGGGTGTCCCCGGTCGGTTGGTCCCAGTCGGCTCTATTTGCACCAGTTGGAGAGAAGCTGTAAGCAGGGGTTCAGCGCATTCCCGGTCGGAGAAGCGGATCGGAGACGGAAGTGGTGTTTTGGCCAGGCCTTCCGATCGGAGAGGCCGTCCGGAGGTGGGCCGGTGTCGGAAGCGAGCGTTGTTCCTCCTTTGTGAGGCCTTTCGGTCGGAGAGGCGGCCGGAGTCGGAAGCGGATGTCGTTCCTCCTCGGCCAGGCCTTCCGGTCGGAGATTGGATCGTCCTTCTGGCCTATCGTTTAGGTGTTTGGGTCGGCCCATGAGTTGCGCGTTGTTCGCAACGTTGTCTGTTGGGCTGAGCCTTTGTTGGAAAGCCGATCCATGAGGGACCCCGGGTTTATGAACCCGACACCATCCCTATCTGCTGCCTCCCAACATCACAACAACCCCTTTTATGGTGTGCATGACACACTAGTCTGCTAGCTTGACTACCTTCTTACACCATATGTAGATCCATGGTGTAGCTCCCTCCCATGCGCCATCCACGGCCTTGCCGCGTGCGCCAACGTTGGAGATGCCAAGCATCGAGGCGAGAAAGTTGATGAAGAGGTCGCATCAGCGCTACCTCTATACCTCAACGCACAAGAGGGCCTAGTGGTCTAACCTCGCTGTGCGTGATTTGATTTTTTGTCAGTTTGATTTGTGGTATGTTTGTGTGACACCATTGATTTGTGGTATACTTGGATAGTTGGATTCAATTGTTTGCTCGATTATGATTATATTTGGAGATTCATAGCCTATTACTGTTTGATTTGTGCTTGATCATTGTTCAATCTCTATGTAATCTTGAGTCCTGGAAATTTGTTTGGTACATCCGCTTGCTGTCTATTTCGAGCTCATGGGCTACTTGAGCCGGCTCGAGCTGAAAAATGAGCCAAGCCGAGCCAAGCTTTCCAAGCGAAGCCAGCTTGATATCGCCCCTAGCTAGTAGCCACACCACAATGCCGGGAGAGGCCGCGGCTGGTGCCTAGTGGCTAGTGGTGCCACAGCCACACCGTGACACCGCAACGGCAGATCGCTGATCGCTTGCGTCTCCTGAAAAAGCGCAGGGTGCCGTGCCAGACTGCCAGTGCCACACTTGCCAATGCTCGTGTTCACCCCTCTCCACCTTTTCGTTTATTTAACCGCTGCCTCGCTGCTTCTCTGCCCAATGGACCCCACGTTTCCCTTATCCCAAGCAAATTTAAAATTTTCCGCAAGAAACCAGACACGCCGCAGTTATTCCCGCCCACCACGCGCACTTCCCCACCCGTCCCTCCAGTTCAAATTACCGAGCCCACCGGCCCTCCCAGGCGTGCGGCCCCACAACGGAGCGGGGCTCAGACGTCAGTGTGACTGAGGCGGCCACGTGGACGCGGCGGTCCCCGGCTCCTCGCAAACCCCCTTCCGCCTACGGCACAACGGCAGCAGAGGCTATGCAGTGTCGCCTGGAACCGTGTCGCCTCCCACCCCCTGTCGTCTCGGTCTCGCTTTAAAATCCCGCGACGCCGTGGCCGCTCGCCTCTTTTGGAGCAGGCCATGTGAAGCCTCTGACCTCCCGATACCTTCCCCTTCCTCCTGTGCTGCTGCAGCAGAGGACAGCGCGGTGTTCGCCTCACGGGGGCGCGAAGCTTCGGCGAGATCCGTGCGCGATGTCGTCGCGGCCGTCGACGTCGTCCTCGCGGCGGAGCAGCTCGCCGTTCTCTGCGGGGCACCGCCGCCCGCCCACTGCGTCATCTTCCTCTTCGAGCTCGTACTTCAGCTCCGGCCGCCTCATTCCGCGCTCGTCCCCGTCCTCCGTCAGCTCCAGCTTCTACGGCGGCGGGGGCGGGGGCAGCACGAGGTCCACCACCCCCGGCCGCCGCAGCTCATCTGTAGCGCCGGCGCCTGCGCTCGCGCCAGTCCCGTTCCCGAGCGCGGACGAGCTCGTCATCGAGGACACCTCCCGATCCGGCGACAGCATCTCCGTCACCATCCGCTTCCGACCGCTCAGGTGGGGATCTCGGAAGGAATGCGCGGATCTGCTTGCGAGGGGTTGTGAGTTGGGTTGTGGGAGTGCTTGAACTGGTTTTGAGCTGGATTTGGTGTGGCTGCAGCGAGCGCGAGTTCCAGCGCGGCGACGAGATCTCGTGGTATCCAGATGGGGATCGGCTTGTGCGGTGCGAGTACAACCCGGCAACGGCTTATGCTTATGGTGAGTAGCCTTCATTCAGTTCCGCCTTCGTTCAATTGGGCAATGCAGGTGGCGGGATTGGGGATTTAGATAATTTAGGCATTGGAATTTCATCCTTGAGCATTTTTTGATTTGGGGTTTCCGAAATTAATTATTATGGATTCGAACAATTAATGCACAGCTGAAATTAGTACACATGGCCTTTGATTGGGCGTCATGATGAAACCAAATTTAGGTCCTGGTCTGCAATTTTGGAAAGCACCTGTTTCTGTGGAAGTCTGTAGTTAATAAACATCGCCTGTTTCTGTGGAAGTCTGTAGTTAATATACAGTCATTGTTACGAGGTTTGCACCATTCCATGCCATTTCAAGCAAATTGTAGAGGTGTGCTTGCTGCTGGTTCTTGATTGGTTAGTTATACAGCATCCCATGAGTTTTGTTATTCTGACTGCCTGGGATGATCAAGCAAACTTCATGTTGGCAGTATTGGTTCAGCTGTGGCCAGCCCAATTTGTTTTGGATTCTTAAATGTTTGAAAGTTGTGCCACGACATGTCTGAAAGTTGTGTTCACAGATGAGATGCATGCAAGTTGTTATCATGGTCTACTAGGACTCTGCCCGTTTTGTTGCTTGCAAAGGAATATGCTGGATGTGCACATACTTCAACTCATGTTGAGTACAGTGAATAGTCTGGACTCTGGAGTATACTTTGTCCAATGTCAGGTCAGCATGAAATGAGTCAGTGCGACAACCAGACAATGCATCCAGTGGATGGCATTATTCACTGTTACACATAGCTCAGCATAGGGTTGGTCAGATCCTTCCAGTGGATGCCATTACTGGAGTGTGTGGGCATGAGCCCATGACCCCGAGATGTGGCTGTGCTAAAGTGGGTACATCAGATTCCTGTAGTTTATCGAAATTCTGAGATACTGATTGCTGGCTTGCTGCATCATGGTTTCTGTTCAAACTTTCAAGTTACCACTGAGTTTGCAAGTATGGAAATATTTCTCTGAGGAAGTATACAGAGATATTTGCAATAGTCTTTAAGTATGATCACCTGCTGGGCATTAGTGTTAGAATGAGGATTAGAGGGTTAATGGGCTGGCCACATGTTAGAATGAGGATTAGAGGGTTAATGGGCTGGCCACATGGGCCTAGGCTCCCAGGGGGTTTAATGGTAGATGATTGATTATTAGGCAAGGGTCTGGGTATCTGATTCTATAAACCCTAGGATATCCTTGCCTATATATTGTACACCCTGTACCTCTCATCGATCAATCCATTCTATTCTCGAGCATATCTTCCTTCAATTAGAAGCATTGAACACTGAGTCCGAAGGTGCTACAGATGTGCCATTTGCAAAAAAAACTGTGATCTGGTGGCAAGATGCAGTAAAACTTGGTAGAATCAACAAGGCTTTATGCGGTCTTCTATGGCCCTTTTGATTATCCCGTAACATGAACAGGAGACGATGGATAGGTCTGAGGTGCTGAGTGAGCTGAGGCTCAAGTGCAATTGTCACAGATGGAAAGTTGATGCATGAGCTGAACAGAGGAGAAAAAAATGGTAGCAGCATTTATTTTTGATAAGCCAATGGCTATGCCCTATAGCTGTTACTAAACATTTGCACTGATGTTTTTTAGCCCATTAAAATTTATGTTCCTAATCGCAGTCAATTAATCTGACTGAATCCAGTATTTAACTTTGACATGCATATTAATTATCATATAGTCCGTGTTGTGTTCATCTGCTATATCAACTTGGTGACGCTTGGTAATTAATGCCTATTTAACTATTTACTTATTTTTTCAGATAGAGTTTTTGGGCCTTCGACAACCACTGAGGCTGTCTATGATGTTGCAGCTCGGCCTGTTGTAAAAGGTGCTATGGAGGGCATAAATGGTATGCTAATTTTGTCTTATTTAGATCATCTTAAGTTTATGGTATGCTGCCATGCCTTATTAATCTGAAAGCACTTCTTATCGTGATTTTTCGTTTACTTATACCATACTGTATCATATATTGTGGGAATTCTATGTTCACATGTAAACATGTAATTTTGCTCTTATCATTATGAACTAATGGTGCACATTTTCTTCCTAACTATTCATTTTACTCTTACCAGCATTTGTTATGAATTAATGTTTACCTTGTATAATGAGTTGTTAACTTATCAATGCATCTGCGCCATTTCTAAATGCAACTTTGTACCAACTTGTAGGGACAGTTTTTGCCTATGGCGTAACAAGTAGTGGGAAGACCCACACAATGCATGTAAGTTCTCATATTCAAAATCTGTTGAAAGAATTACCAAGCTAGTTTCATAGGAAAGCAGAAAGCCATAACTATACGAGCATGTAGTTTGTATGTCCATGTTTCCTGCTGGGATCCAGACTCCTGAATCCTCTCTATAGCTCATTGCAACTTTCAAGATATTTTCTACAATTGCTACTGCAAGCGATAGCAAATATGGTTTCTGAATGCGACTTTGACATATTCATTTTCATGAATAATGTTGGTAAATATATAGTTTTCTGATTTTTGAAGGCAGCATTATTTTTCTGATCCCTTTGTTTTCCTAATCTTTTTTCAGGGTGACCAGAATTGTCCTGGAATAATCCCACTAGCCATCAAGGATGTCTTCGGCATGATCCAAGATGTATGGCAGTAAATGCTTTAGTTGAATAATACTTAGTAATCCTTTGTGATTATTTTCCTAACTCAGAAGTCATAATGCCTTTATTTCAAATGAGCATGTTTCCTGTAAATGTTTAAATGGACGGACACTTTGACACAAGAATACCTCCAAAATCTGCACTGGTGTCTTCTTCATTGCTTGTGTATTCCTGTGTGTATATCCATAATACTGAATGGTATCATTTAGAAGCTAGAACACTGTGTATTACCCAAGCAAGGCGTGTAGTGTGTTTATGCAACTTGGAAGTGTTTCTTTGTTGCCCAAGAAACTAGAGCTTTATGTCTTGTCCTGTTTACTTGAGTGCTGGTCCTTTCTTCAGATTAGCTGCATGGGAACTTCTAGTTGGCTTTATACAAGAGATAATCTCTGGTTAGTTTTTATTCAACAAGAGGCGGGGAAACTCCTAATTCATTTGGTTAAGGGTTGTGACAGGCTGAGTAGGAAGATTGATGTATCCCAGAAAGTTGTGGTTACAAAGTTTCATATGAGCAGACTCAATAACATACGTTCTTAAAAATCCTATTTTATTGTAAATCTTAATGTTTTCTGAAATGTACCATGTGCTCAATTCTACCCTGTATCACATCATCTACTCTGGCTATTACTTGACTGCAACCTTTGTTTTTACTATCTTGATAAACAGAGTCCTGGAAGAGAATTTTTGCTCCGTGTGTCGTACCTTGAAATCTATAATGAGGTATGCTACTTCTACTTGTGCCAGTTTGAAAGGAAAAAATCATTTTCATAAATTTCTTGCAAGGTATACCTTTGGTCTTACTTTATTGATTAGTCAACGACCTTTTGTTCAACTCACCATATCTGTTCTTATCTTGAAATCTCGATTGGCCTGGTTCTTGACAAAAGGGTCCTTTTCTGATAGTTCTATCCAGAATACACTTCCACTTAGTCATATATCCCTTTTGTTTGGTTGGTTACAAAATTTTGAGCTATGCGTTTTTTTTTTTTTTTTTTTTTTCTCGAAGGGAGCTATGTGCAATTTATATTTGTTCTGCGGTTGTGCTGTACAAATACTGGCGAAGCATTTGTTTTATGGTGATATTAGTTACTACTCCCTCCATACTCAGAAATCATGTCGTTTTAGGGGGTAGGACTGTTTTCACAAATGAAGTCGTTTAGGCTCTTCTAATCTTCTTTTGGACGCGAATACCCCCGGGACACCTGGTTTCTGTGCGCTCATTACTCGGCTCACTCATTAATCGCGACCCTTTGGTACCGCGCCACCAGTCCCTTTACTCGGCTCGCTCTCCTCCCCATGCCAAATTTGTGCTTTGACGCAAAAAAATACGACCCCACAAGGAGTTGAACCGTGCTCTCCAGCCTCGGGCCCCTGCGCATTAACCACCCCAGCTGCGGAAGTTTGTTGTATGGAAGGAACCCGCTATGTTATTTAATACGGGCAAACAGGGAAGAATAAACCGTAATTAATCACTCCTTGGTATGCTAAATCCTATCCAAAACGACTTTATTTTTTAGTACGGAGGGAGTACTGAGTCTCTGAGGACTAAGCAAAATATCGATGCCATATTCTATTGCAAGGGTACCTGTATTCTTATGCCCTTTCATCTTGTACCATATGGATAGATTCAATCTGGATATCTAAATGCAGGTGATAAATGATCTACTTGATCCTACTGGCCAAAATTTGCGTGTGCGGGAGGATGCACAGGTTAATCTCTAGAATCTTTTGTTGCATTCTCATGATATACCGATATAGTGAATTGTCAAATAGTTTTAACTGAGTGTTTTAGTTGCAAACTTGCAATATATCAAAACTGATCCGAGTTGTTCTTACATAAAATAATCTTAGTGTTTTAATCAGAATTATTATCTGATGCAGTTTGTTACCTTCCATTGGTACAAATTTGTGATCTTTGAAGTCAAAATGGATATTGTTTATAGTTGAGTGCTATTTGGTTCTGAGAGTGATTAGCTTGATATTATATTATTTTTCTGAATTATATCATAAAGTGTCTTTCATATGTAACCTTCCTGTGTTGTTTTTTTGTTGATTTACATTGCTCCCTTTAGTGTATGCAAAGAAAGCTCATAGCTTTATCAATTGTAGTTACTATTTTGTTTATGAACTTATCTGATTGCTTCCTTTTTCACTCTCTAGGGAACCTATGTAGAAGGAATAAAAGAAGAAGTAGTTCTGTCTCCAGGACACGCTCTTTCTTTTATTGCAGCGGGTGAAGGTGATTGCATTATCTTTCTCAGTTTTTAGTATGTTACTAGTGAATGATTTCAGGGGAGTTGGTTAGGTAGCTTGAGTAGTGCTCCTCAAGTCTTGGGTTTGACTCCCTGTGGGAGCGAATTTTAAGGTTAGGATTAAAAAAATCCCCTCATTTGTTCTACGCCAAAGCACAGGTCTAAGGTCTAGCCCCGGTCGTGGTCGTTGTGTTTGTCCCACACTGTCGTTGTCACATACTCACATGGGCTACGGTGCCGCTGTGTATGAGTGGGGCAGGGGTTCAGAGGTTTTCTTGACCTGCGTGAGGTCTTCTTCTTAATCCAATGCCCTGTGGCTGTCTTACCCTCCGCAGGTCGAGTTTTTTTCTTGCTGTGGCCATTAGAGGTGACAGTAAGTACAGTGTATTAATATCTCATAAAATAGTTTTTTAGTTCCTGTATCATCTTTATTTATGGCTTCTTTCAACATTTCTATCAACCTGTCAACTAATTGGTTTGGTTAGACTCCAGAAACATGTTTCAGTGAGATACACGCTTTTAGTTATTCTGCTTTCTCTAAATTTTTAGTCTGGTTGTGAACCATATGATTTTCTTCTCTTATAAGTTCTTTGTCTTTGCCTTACAATCTTAGGTTTCGTTTAAATACCATGTTACCAATCGAAGTTCCAGCTACTCATGCAAATGCACAGTATCCTTTACTGATATGCTAATAGACTCTTTGTCTGAATATTCTCAACTATGACTAGTACTCCCACTATTCTCAAACACAATGTGAAACTTCTTGGAAAAAAAAAACAGAATTATTGTACTTTGAAAACCTAAAATCTTATAGATTTTGTGGAAGTATATACTAAAATAATACCTATTTATACTCTGATTTCTAAGGTTCTCAAGTACCACTATACTAAATTGACCATCCATGACTTATCCTTTTCCATGCTGTTATTCATTTGGTTACCTAGTTCTTTTAGTATCCAGAGCTTCATTGATGTTAACTATTGGAATGCTGTTTTCTTTTCCTGAAACATAGGACATAATTTGAGTTGTACAACAAAGTGGCATGACCTCGTTTTTTACACCATAACTAATACTATGTTACATGACAGAACATCGGCATGTTGGCTCTAACAACTTCAACTTATTTAGCAGCCGAAGTCATACTATTTTCACATTGGTGAGTTCATAATTTATTTCAGCATTTAGTGATTACTGAAGTTCTGCAAATGTTTCGCATTTGTTTTTTTTCTTATGCCACAAATACTCCTGAGTTCCAGTATTCACCGTGTCATATTTATTTACCACATTTGTGATATATTTCTCTCACCCTTTTTCTTAATACAAAGATATGTCGCTCTCCTGCGTGTTTGAGAAAAAAAAACACATCTGTGATATGCTGTATTTCTTTATCTGACCCATAGCATATCTGTGTTCTTCTTTAGATGATTGAAAGCAGCGCCCATGGTGATGAGTATGATGGGGTCATGTATTCACAGCTCGTACGTTGTTCTGGTCCTAAGAAACATTCTATTTCCACTTTCCAGTTTCCCCTGGATTTCTAATATCATTTTTACACAATTTTCATTTTCTAGAATTTGATTGATCTAGCTGGCTCTGAGAGCTCGAAGACAGAGACTACAGGGTTAAGAAGAAGGGAAGGGTCATACATTAACAAGAGCCTTTTAACTCTTGGAACAGTAAGTTCTCATTGGCAATCACCTGTGACAATGGCTGGTTTCCCGGTTATTATCAGCAGCTTTGAAGACATTGACCATTGTATAATTAATTATTACTTGTATCAAAATTGAAGCTGAGCTTAGGATGGAAAATAGCTGGTAGAATATGTGGTGAGATTAGCTTGATTCTATTGTCGGACACAAGTGCTCATTTGCAGCTTCATTTCTTTTGGTTCAAAGGTCATTGGCAAGCTCAGCGAAGGGAGGGCAACACATATACCCTATCGTGATTCTAAGTTGACCCGTCTGCTACAATCATCATTAAGTGGCCATGGTCATGTCTCAGTAAGTATTAACTTTTACAACTGCTTCTCTGGGAGTCATTCCTTTTGGAACTCATTCCGTTGTTCTGTTCGAGCATTGAAGTGAAGCACTGAAACCTTCCGAAGTAGTCAGCTGATACAATTACTTTTTCTTATGCAGCTAATTTGCACAATTACCCCAGCATCAAGTAACATGGAAGAAACCCATAATACATTGAAATTTGCAAGCAGAGCAAAACGTGTTGAAATTTACGCCTCTCGCAATCGGGTAAATAGTTAGGCATAGAAAACTGATTTCCTGTACCACTATTCTAGAAAATGAAATTAAAGACATAATGATCTTGACTGCCCAGATAATTGATGAAAAATCATTGATCAAGAAGTATCAGAAAGAAATATCCTCTCTAAAGCAAGAACTCGATCAGCTAAGGAGAGGAATGATTGGTGGTGCCAGCCACAAAGAAATTATGAGTTTACGTCAGCAGGTATGTTCTGTTTGTTTGTTATAACTGCAGAATAAAGCTGTAATTAAGTTGTTATGTGCTCCTTGAAAATTGACTGTAGATTATTTTTTGCGTTGGTAAGTTGATAACTGCTTGAAAAGTACTTTTCTTTCTTTTATCTTTATAGTTGGAGGAGGGTCAGGTCAAGATGCAGTATCGTCTGGAGGAGGAAGAGGAAGCGAAAGCTGCTCTAATGAGCAGGATACAACGCTTGACCAAGTTGATACTTGTTTCCACCAAAAACAATATTCCTGCCTTGACAGATGGTCATCAGCGGCACAATTCTGTCAGCGAGCAAGATGTAAGTATCAATTGCCCTACCATTACACATTTGTATATATTCTTCCTTCATGCTTCTGTTTCATTTGGAAATATGAATTATCTATATTTTCAGAAGTTAAGCACTTCACAAGATAGTTCTACACTTGTCCAAAATGAGGGCACCACAAAAGACCCCCTACCAGACTCCTTAGATGAGATCAATCAATTAAGATCTGGCAGTGGTGAACATTCTTCAGTTACTGGTTCTGCAGCAGATTCAATGCAGGTATATAACCTGCCCATTCTGCTAAATTTTGCAATATTTGTTTCCTTTTGTAAGGTGTTCTCTATTGTTGTAGTGCTATACTCAGTAGCCTCTAAAATTTGGTTGTGACTTCCTACTGAATATGGTTTTATGAAAGACAATTAATGGACAGAACAATGCATGTTAAAAAGTGGATCTTATTCTACAGCGAGCATGCTAATTCATAAATTATTATTTGTTAAAACTTGTTGTGCTTGGAATATCAGGCGGGATTCACGGCAACAGATCATATGGATCTACTGATTGAGCAAATTAAGATGCTCGCTGGGGAGGTCGCATTTGGTACCAGTTCGCTGAAAAGACTAATCGAACAGTCCATAGATGATCCTGAAGGGACAAAGGACCAAGTATTCCCCTTACACTTCAGTATTGTTTTTTTTATGTACCTTCTGCTCAGTAGTCAGTATCAATCTCATTCCATTTGAAGAGGAACCAGTGATTAACAGTGCTATATGCATTCCTGACATGCATGAGAATAAGCCTTTTGTGTTCAATTTCATGGCAGGCAAAATATAACATTCAACATAACTGGGTTCTGCACTCTATTTTAACATGTGTTGAACTGTTGCTCATAATATTCGCGTATGTTCTTAGGACACCTTCAGTAATAGAGCCAACTTGCTAGCTCATATGAACTTAAAAAAAGATAAAAATGGAGTAACCTGACATGCTAGTATAGAAAAATGTGTGAGCATGGACACATGAATCATAGAAAAGTGTGTGAGCTTAGCTCTTCTTGAAGTAAAAAAAAAGATAAAAATGGAGTAACCTTATGAACTTAAAAAACTTGCTAGCTCATATGAACTTAAAAAAAGATAAAAATGGAGTAACCTTATCATTCTCTCTCTTTTTAATGAATAAAAATATTCTATGAGCTAGTTGTTTTAACACTGTTGGAGCTGCCCTTATAACAGATAGAGAATTTAGAGCGTGAAATCCAGCAAAAGAGAAGACATATGCGAGCCCTGGAAAAACAAATCATGGAAAGTGGTGAGGCATCAGTTGCTAATGCATCCATGGTGGATATGCAGCAGGTGATATGTCCAGCATATGGATGCCCCTCTTAGTGGTTCCTGCAATTTTTCTCTTCAATACTAACGCGTTTGGTTTTGTGAAAACAGACTATTACAAAACTAACTGCTCAGTGCGGTGAGAAGGCTTTTGAGTTAGAGGTAATCTTCTGAACTTCTACTGTGATTCCATCAAACTCAAATACCTGGAAATGGTGTTTTAACAATTGTTTGTGCTTTTTCGGGACAGTTAAAGTCAGCTGATAATCGTGTTCTCCAGGAGCAGCTACAGCAGAAGGTCCTCTCTCTCCCTACTTCTATTTTCAATTTAAATTCTTCATGACAAAAGTTTGATCCAAAAAGTTGTACTAATTACAGAATGTGGAAATCAATGATTTACAAGAAAAAGTTTTTCGCCTTGAGCAACAACTCTCAGCAAAAGTGGATATATCCCCTGAGCAGGAGACTGATTGCGCACAGCAGGAGGCTATTGATTTGAAATCTAAACTTCAGTCCAAGGTTCTTTTACTAATCCTGTTCTTTCACTTTGTGTATTCGAGACCCTTGCGCAGTATACCTACCTGAACAATTTGGCATACTCTGCAACATAGAATATTAATGGTTTCTGCTACATCCTTCGTGAATTTCTAGTTGATAGAAATAGTATGCATGTTCTTTAGATGGCTATAAGCAACTATTTGTGTTTTATGCTTGCCTTGTTGACATTTAAGTCAACCAACTTTGCTGATGTACTTTGGCAGGAAGCTGAAATCGAAAAGCTGAAATTCGAGCATCTGAAAATTACTGAGGAACATTGTGACTTGATCAATCAGAACCATAAATTAAGTGAGGAAGCTGCATATGCAAAAGAATTGGCATCTTCAGCTGCTGTTGAACTTAAGAATTTGGCTGAAGAAGTTACAAAGCTATCTGTACTAAATGCAAAACAAGCAAAGGAATTATTAGTTGCTCAGGAGATGGCACATTCAAGGGTTCATGGTAGAAAGGGTCGTACAACCAGTAGGGGCAGGGATGAGGTTGGGACATGGAGCCTCGATTTAGAGGACATGAAAATGGAGCTACAGGCCAGAAGGCAGAGGGAGGCTGCTTTGGAAGCTGCTTTGGCAGAGAAGGAGTTTCTCGAAGAGGAGTACAAGAAAAAGTTTGACGAGGCAAAGAAAAAGGAACTATCTTTGGAAAACGATCTAGCAGGCATGTGGGTTCTTGTTGCTAAGTTGAAAAAAGGGGCTTTAGGCATATCTGATTTGAATGTTGATGATCGAACTGTTAACCTAGCTGATATAACTAACGGCACAAAGGAAAACAAAGGTGAAAAGAATTTTGCTCTAGTTGAGAAGCAAATTTCAGACGATTCTGTTAAGTCACTGAGCACAGAAGGACATAGAAGTCCGGAGTTTGAACCACTTCTTGTTCGTCTGAAGGTATATACATTCTTTTGGTTTACATGTATATTTCGCTAGTTTTTGAGGTAGTGTATGCTATCAACTCCATATAACTTAAGTCCATCATGCAAAGCTGGCTCTGGAAATCTGAAAGTAGATTCTCGGTGCTGCAGTGGCGCCTTTGTAACTAATATTAACATAACTTGGTGTACAGAAGGGAGTATGCGTATTTCAGTAGCTGTCTTGTTGCTGAATTGTAAAGCCTGAGTGTAATCTGTAGTCAGATGTAGACATCTTTTATGTTTCAATTGGTGGTGGCAACCCAGCTCTTAAGTGACAGTTGCTTCTGGATTGCTGATAGCAAGAGCTACGACCTACGTGCCACTTGTGATTTGTGAACCTAATAACTTCTTCTGTGTGCAGGCTAAAATTCAGGAGATGAAGGAAAAGGACACTGATCCCCTGAGCGACAAAGATGGCAATTCACATGTCTGCAAAGTTTGCTTCATATCTGCAACTGCTGCAGTATTGCTTCCTTGCCGGCATTTTTGCTGTAAGCTGCCTACTCTCCTGTGTTTACGTGCCACTTTTGCTCAACATTGATACTGCATTTTCCCCTAAAAAAAACATTGATACTGCATTTTTCGCTAACGGACGGTGTTCCTTTTCAGTGTGCAAGCCTTGCTCGCTTGCCTGTTCGGAGTGCCCTCTGTGCCGCACAAGAATAGTAGACAGGATAATCACCTTCACATGAACTGCGTGCTAGCTTCAGGTGCCAAACACTTCGCGGCTTGCATGTTGGTCTCACTCCAACGCTATCCCTATGAAATTTCCTAACGCTGTGCTGTGTATCTCTGCCAGGTCATTCTGAAGCACGCATTCCTTGTAAAATCGCCAGTGGTATATGTTTCTCTTTTTCCTTAGCAAAGAAGGTGCCTTTTATGTTCCTTCTGTGTTGTATCGCCATTCTTTGGGTTCTCCTACATAGCTTCACCTTACGTTCTTTGTTGTATCGAGGAGTTACAAATGATGACTTCTCGCTCTGCAAATATGTATAGATATGCGACTCGACGCTGTAACACATTTTGATTGTCTGCCCTGAAGAAAAGCAGTGAACGACATGATGACGTGTGTGTATACTGCTCCTAGTTAACTACTCTCCCATACCGAAATATTCTCATCGTCCCATTGAAAGTGTCGTTTTTTTATTTTTAGACTTCTTATTTGATCGTTCTATTTTATTCAAAATTTTTATATAAATATTATTTATTTTGTTATAACTTATTTTATCGATACTTTAATAATGATTTATTTATTTTATTATTTGTATAAAAATTTAAATAAGATGAATGGTTAAATAAAAAGTCAAAAAAAAAAACGACATTTTTAATGGGACGGAGGGTGTAAGTGCATATCTAGTACTCCATCCTAGATAAGACTATAATTCTAGCATAGTATCATGGTTTTGTATTTTAAGTTTGATTAATTATAGATAAAAAGTATTAATATTCATGATATCAAATAAATATTATTAGATTAATTACGAAATGTATTTTTATAATAAATTATTTTGGAGCCGTAAATGTGAATAATATTTATTAGAAATTTGGTCAAACGTGAACTACTTTTACTGGCACGCAATATGTAGTTGCATTCTTTTCTGGATGGAGGGGGTATTCAAAATTTATCCCAAAATAAGTTGTCATTAGTTATGAGACAACCTAGTTTAGTAGGCTTTACCACTTTCTCTATTCTCAAAGTGTAATCATTACATGCTTCAACACCTTTTCATAGGATTGCATATTCGGTATTCTCATCCAACTCTAGAAGTGCATTTATTTTTAGACGGAGGGAGTAATCATTTCGATTGAGATGTATGATCCGATTAGTAGGAGGCATGTAGCCCTCTGATCATCTAACGTCCTGTTCGTTTGGCTGATAAGTCATGGCTGAAAGTACTGTTGACTGATTTGTTGTGAGAGAAAAATATTGTTCGTTGGCTGAAAAAGTACGGCTTATAAGCCAAGCAAACAGGATGTAAGAAATGAGGGGTGTGGGTGATTGGAAAAGGGCAAATCTGTGATAAGATTTTGTATGAAACTAAAAAACATAGTTTACAAAATTGCATTGAAATTAAACTTCAGATATACTAATTGTGTTTGTTTTTACAATAACTTGTTTAAAAAAATGACTTTTTAAAAAAAATGTTTTTCTTATGAAGCAAGAATATTTTTTATTAAATAGGGGCAATATTCAAGGTTCACATCTTCACAAAAAATGTTCTGGTCTCATGATTTAGGATAATCAAATTTTAGATTCAAAGGAATAATATTCCATAGCATTCGAGTCAAATAGTAGAAATTTAAAAAGAACATGTCAAGTATTCTGTAGTAGAAATTTAAAAAGAACATCATATGATACCGTGGCAACAAATGATATATATTGTCGAATATTTCATAGATACTATATAAACAACCTAAAATACACAATAGAACATTTTATGGGGTAAGGACGAATTTAGCGGGCCCCCAGCCCACTCTACAAGTTTTGAACAAAGGTGAAGTAGAAGAAAAAGAAAAAGAAAAAGGAGAGGGAGAACAAAAAGAGGAAGAAGAAAAGCAGAAGTGAGGTGAGGCACCCTTAGACCGTCTCCTAAGACTGTCTCCAACAACACCACCCAAACGCAAAAATATGTGATTCACAGTGTTTTGGGTACGAGAAACGAGTTCCAACAGAACACCCAATCCAAGGACACATTTTGCGTACCAGCCAAATCAAAAGGCAAATAAGCGTCTCGCGAGAGAGACGACGCAAATATCTGGCGCCGTAGTGGTGGGCCCGCGGCGAGGCGCGGCTTGTGACGGGGCGCGGCCGGCGCTTCCAGGCGAGCCGGTCGGAGATGCTCGTCTTCGGTCGGATATGCTCGCCGCCGCCTAGATTCGGCCACCAGCGGCGGATCCGGCCACCGCGAGCGCAGATCCAGCCACCAGCGGCGGATCTGGCCACCACAGTCACGGATCTGGTTGTGGAGAAGGAGCGCCGCCTGGTTGTGGAGGAGGGGCCGCACGCGCGAGAGAGAGAGGTGGGGGGGAGGGAGAGGGAGGCGCCACGCGGCACGCCGTGCTTCGAGTGCCGTGGTGGAGAAAGAGCACCGCCCCGTTGTGCTCCCCATCCCGGCCGCTCCGTGCTCCTCGCGTCGTGGTGGAGAAAGAGCGCCACCCGGTGCTCCCCATCCCGGGTGCGTCGTGCTCCGCGCGTCGTGCTGGAGAAGGAGCGCCGCCGTGCTTCGTGCTCCGACCGTCGCGCGCCGTGGAGGGGAGGGGAAAGGGCGTCGGGCTGGGGGCGCCGCCGGGATGGGGAGGGCAAGGGAGGGGACGGGGCGCCGCTGGATGGAGGGGAGGGGAGAGGGCGTCGGGCTAGGGGCTGGGAGGGGAGGCGGCGTCGGGCTGGGGACTTGGAGATGGGTGGGCGGCGGAGAGACCGAGGAAGAAGAAGGCTGATTTGCGTTGCCTGTTGGAGAATCTAAATTTTAGGTAGCGACCTTTTCTACTGTGCATGACCTAAACGAGGGAATGGGTATCCTGTTTAGGTGCTCATGGTTGAAGACAGTCTAAGACCAGTTGGCCCAGTCCACCCTCTGTTGGGGGTGTAGGCTTTGGCCTTGATGAGGATACCCAAGAGGCCAAGACCCATGTGGTCGACATGCTCCTCCAACTTGTGCACAATCCTTTGACTCAAAAAGGAAGAAGCAAAATTTGAGCTTTCCAAAGAAGGCAGTACAATATAGGGGCAAAGTAACGTGACCGAGTTTGTGAAATTCCCCTTATCAGTGAACACACATAGATTACTAGTAAAGGAATGAAATGTATGAGCTAATTCTCTCATGAACTTAGAGATTGAAACTTTAAGTTCACTAGAAGATAGCTAACTAGACATGAAGCACACTTTGAATTCCTTTTGATCACCATATGAGTTGTTTCAATAACACTTGACCGTGATCAACTTTCTCATATTTGTGATAGTCTCCTTTGTGACGTAACGTCATGCAATGCTATACAACACTTAAAGATAAATGCATTACATTATACGTGAGTACAAAGCTATACAACAAGAGCATGCAAGACATCGAAAAATGAACTCATGATGTGTCAACCTTTTCATACCATTATATTCTCTTTGCATTTATTAGTGTACATGGAAATTGCTATACTCGCTTTCAGCAAACCTATTTACCTATTACCTTGCATCGACCATATTATATAATAAATATGGATAAGTTCTATGAGTACACCCTGTACTCACGATGTGTCGATAAGTTGTTTATAAGTTATCAGAGTCCATGATGGTTACCCAAGCAAACATAGGTACGCATGGTGGCATAAGAGGATATAGGTTGGACATGCCTATCTTGCTTTGTAAATAAGAGATAGGAGAGCAGATTTTTAATGGAGAACTTGAGGAGTTTGTTCTTGGGGCTACTTCTTGTTCTTATATAATAGTTTTGCAGTTAACTTGCTGTGGTGAAGGAGCACATGAGTTATATAAGCTCGATATACTTGAGTTATTTTGACAAATACGTGCTTCTTGTGTTTTGAGTTAACTTTGAGTTCTTATGTTCATTTGTGTATTATTCAAAACTATGATCCTATATTTGTGCTAGTGGAGTGCAGGTGGTGCATTTCTAGGGATTCCTGTGATTGATTACCTGAAGCTAAGTTGGTTAAGTGGATAACACTTGGTTTAGGTTTGTTAACCTGGACGGGTCCCCAAAGTGTCCCTGGAATGTTGCCTGACAAGGCTTGGTAAGATGTCCCACTCTTGGTAGGGGTGAAAATGGTCGAGGTAAATCTCATTTCGTCCCTCCCGAATTTCTACATTCAACCCGCTCAAATTCTTATTTACAGTCATCACGGCCATTTTCGCTTTTCTCATCTTTGGCAAATTTGAAAACATGATGAAAAAGGTATGGTTATTTTTCTGACCATTTTCGCTTTCCCCATTTTTAACTGGGACATCCAGTTTTTACCCAAACAAAATAGTCTATTTTAGAAAGTCCAATAGTACAACAGTCACTCACACCATACGGCAGTAATTTGATCCATAGTGGACTAAGTTGTTGTCTTCCTATATTGTAGACTTATGGTCTTACAATCGTGTACTGTTGTCATCTTATAGAAACTACGGTATGAATCAGAATCGCGTATCTATCACCATATCGAGTTAGTTAGGTCAGCATGTGGAGTCATGTTTCTTGGTTTTATGTGTTATCGTTCTTGTTTTGTATTTTTGAATCCCAACCATTTCATCGACATGTTTCCGTTTGAATTAGTTCGTTTTTTAATTTGACATCCGTGAATCCCATCGCGGTTCCTCGTTTTCGATCTCCTCATTTATTTTCATTTAATTATGTAATAAAATGTAAATGTGAAAATATGAGAGGGCTTATCCCGACCAATCCTATTCATTTTAATTCCTACCTCTAGGGAACTCCAGCCTCCTTATATAGTCTAGGGGAGAGGATTATGTGTTGGTTTCCTTTCCAATTAGAATTTGTTTGCTAGTCCTATTACAATAAGATAACCCATATCTAAAGACACATCTAACTGGAGCCTTTCCTTGTAGTATACAACAAGCTAGGTTGAGTCCTGTCCTATCTCTATACGATGGATTATATCTTCCTTATGATACACTGAGTTCATATTATGAACGAAATACCCCATGGAGAGCAACTACCCTTGGCCAAAACTTTGCATTTGTAGTGATCACCAGATGATCTGCCGATCACTCAGGCCGAGCACCAAATAATATGGTTTTGAAGAAAAATTCAAAGTTTTTCAATGGCTACAGTATGGTCACTCACGATCCTCCGTGGGTCACAAAGTAGTCACCGGATTATACGGTGAACATCAATAACATTACCCATTTAACTTAGCACAATGTCACCGGATGATCCGTTGTACGCCACACATGCATCACTAGATCCTACGATGACGACCAATTGCTTCGTTAACTTCAACTTGAGTCTTCAACGGTGTCACCGGATGATCGATCATGTGCCAATAAGGAATTACTCGATTATATAGTGAACATGAGTAACTTGACCACTTCCAATAGTGTCATTGAGTCATTCGCTGGCACGTAATCTTCGTCATCGTATCATACCTTGAGCATGAGTACAACATCATTAAATGATCCAGTGGACTTGATCATGCTCTAATGAACTTAAAAACTTGAATTCCTAATTCGGTTGAAGTTTGATCTCATCCAATCCGGTTCATTTGAGATCCTGAATGACTTCTCTATCTTCCAGGGCCACTTGTGTGAAAGTTAGCTCTAGCTTTCACTTGTGTTCATCTCCAAATATTATTGGCTAAAAATTAGGTCAAGTTACCGGTCTCGATCATTTACTTATAAGCATCTCCAACACCAAGTTTGCACTTAGAATCTATAGAATCCTTATAAGTGCCTCTAACACCATACTTAATCTGAATTCTAGGGCCATTATAACCGTGTGGCTAATAGTGTGAGTGTGTCTGTGTGTGACTAGATCAATGTGATTACCCCTGGCAAAACACACCTACTGTGTTCCTCAATTAGCGAAACCGAAATTGAGGCCTCGATGCATTCAAGGCTAAATGTGGCTTTTACTACTACACAAATAAAAATTTTCAGGCACGATCAAAATGGAAGGTAAACACTATCCCTCGCTCGTGTGATTTGGAGGAATCCATCACTCGAATTTTCTCTACTCTAAATCCGGCCTCTCCCCCTCTTTCTTCTCCAAGTCTGGCCGAGGAAGGCAGGGCGGCCAGGCGGTAGGGATGGAGGTGGGCGGTTCGGGGCCCTGGCGGCGGTGGAGGCGGCCGGGCCAGGTCGGGGCGAGGGAGTCGTGGCCGTTCACCGGAGTTAGAGAAGAAAGCGGCGGCGAGAGAGGGGAGGGGAAGAGAGGTCGTCGTGGGCACGGTTGGGTCTCGCCGGAGCTCCGCCGCCGCGTGGTGGGCGCTGTGCGACGGCGGGCGTCGAGGGGTGGGGGGGGAGGATGAACAGTATTAGAGAGGAGAAAAAAAACGTGTCAGCTCACAAGTGTGAGCTATAGACAGACCCAAATGGACTATAGAAGCGGTTGACGTTTAGAAAAAATCGAATGCATCCCTAGAAATCGGGTAGTAGCTAGTTTGCTGTTCAGCCCGCTGAGCAAGTCTTCGTAATATTTCTTGTGTGGGAAAGAATTCTGGTAGGAGCTCACAAGAATGAGCTGAATTCTTTATGATTCTAGGAACTTTGAGTTCAAATGAGAATGAACATACGGGCAAGATGTGCACCGTACCGTGTGCAGGTGCAGGAACAGCTTCACGCGAAGTACAGGTAAAACACGGACACTCGGGCAGCATCTGACACAGTACCCACCTCCGTCACCAAAGGCTTCCGGCCATCTCAGCCGTCTTGCTTCAAAAAGGAAGAAAAAAAAAACAAAAACAAAAAGGAGAAAGAGAAAGAACGCCGGAGCCGGAGCCTCACCCTGACGCCATCTCTCCTTCCTCCTCCTCCCTGATTCAGATCTCTCATCGGCCCCCGCTCCATTCCCACCGACCAGACCTTCTCGATCGCCGCCGGCCAATGGAGGCCATCCGGAAGCAGGCCTCAAAGCTCCGGGAGCAGGTCGCTCGGCAGCAGCAGGTGAGCGAGCCACGCCGCCCCTTTCTCAAGATCTACGCCATCCGTTCCTCCGCGACCCGGCCGCGGGCTCGCACTGCCCACCCTCCCTCCCTGCCTCCCTCCCTTTGACGTGGCTCCTCCGAGATCCGGTTGTCGTTCTCTAGGTTGTTATTGATCACTGATGATGCCGCCTCCGTACTCGCGGCCGCCCGTGTCCTGTTCCGCAGGCGGTGATGAAGCAGTTCGGGGGTGGGTACGGCGCAGACGGCGTGTTCGCGGACGAGGCCGAGGCGCAACAGCACTCCAAGCTCGAGAAGCTCTACATCTCCACGCGCGCCGCCAAGGTAAATGGCGGACGACCCCCCTCGTCGCGGTCCTTGCTTGGTACTTGACTCTGTCTAGGATCTGGATCTGCTTACATAATGTGTCGCCTTGTCGTTCCTCCCAGCACTTCCAAAGGGATATAGTTCGGGGCGTCGAGGGCCACATCGTCACGGGGTCGAAGCAAGTCGAGATCGGTAGACAGCTGAACTCCCGTGTCTCTTTCATTGAACACATGAATTTGAATTTCGGAACTGTTAATGTAATGTGCTTTCTATTGAAACGGTAGATTTTGGAACTCCTGTGTCTCTTTCATTGAACACATGAAATTTGAATTTTGGAATTGCTAATGTAATGTGCTTTGTGTTGTACAGGGAACAAGTTATGTGAGGACGGCAAGAAGTATGGCACTGAGAACACTTGTACCAGTGGAAGCACACTGTCGAAGGCGGCATTAAGTTTTGCTAAGGCACGGTCCATGATGGAAAAGGAAAGGGGTAACCTGCTGAAAGCCCTTGGCACACAGGTATTGCCCATTGTTGCGTTTATATCCATAATGAATGAATGCACCGGATTATGGAATATGAGCCATATATGTTTTCCGCGTTATGCTTGGAAATAATTATAAATGTATTACAGAGTAGACCTGGGAAATGGCACAAGGCTTTGATGCATAGCGTTTTTTGTTGGACTAATCATCAGTTCACACAGAATAAGACACAAGATTTTCCGTTGGCTCATCTCTTTTTTGTATCTTCGTCATCTACCGATAGGATAGCAATGCTTATCTCTTTTTTCATATCTTTGTGATGTATGTTATGGTGATTTGTACTAATTAAATAGCTTGCAAATTGCTCATGTTATATGTAAGTGTATCTAGAATTTGCAACAGTTAAATACTTGGATTGAAACTGCCAGACAACGGTTAAATACTGAAGTGGATTGGAAGTGCCAGTTTGAGGAGCCTTTCTTAATTTCTTGTTCTTATGTTCAAGATTTTACCACGAGTGCCATTATATCCTTTCATACTTCGTTCATTTTTTCTTAAAATCAAACCAGGACAAAACTTGATATAAGTAATGCAAACTGTCATCAGGTTGCAGAGCCATTGAGGGCTATGGTTATGGGAGCTCCTTTGGAGGATGCTCGCCACCTCGCCCAAAGATACGACAGAATGCGTCAAGAAGCTGAAGCGCAGGTCATTTCAATATGTATTACACTATTGCATAATAAGTTTACCTTTACCTTTTGTCTTTGTATCTTATGTTTCTGGTACCAAGCAGTATTTTACATGACTCTTACTGACTCAAATATACTTGCTAATTTGGCATAATTAAAAAAAATTTAGTACACCATACATTTCTCATAGTAACTGATAAACCATTTAGAATCAAAGCATATAATTTTAGGATTTGACTAGTACCATCCCTGATGCACGAGTGCGTCATTGCTTTTTATGAGGTACTTTGGGCACTACCCTATGCAATTCGAACTCAGGTCATGTCACATAAGCCATTAATAGAAGCTATTTCTATCCATCCAGACATATCGTCATCACACTTTCTTTTCTTTTTTGGCGCACTTGTGCTAGAATTATTGCTCAGCCACCTGTGTTTCCCATTTTGTTTGCAAAGATTTTTAGTTATTTCTCTATACCTTGAAGTCACTTAGGCATACTATATAGTTCGTTTCTTTTGTTCCTGTAATAAATTGGGAAAGTTGGTTTTTGAGTCCTGCAGACTATTGAAGTTTCAAAACGCCAAATGAAACTAAGAGAAGCATCTGGAAATAGTGATATGGTTGCAAGGCTAGAAGCAGCTGAGTCAAAGCTGCAGGAGTTGAAATCAAATATGGGGGTTTTGGGCAAAGAAGCTGTTGCAGCAATGACTGCCGTTGAAGCCCAACAGCAAAGACTGACACTGCAGCGTCTTATTGCATTGGTACATATTTGTCTAGTTGGGTCATTTGGGCCACTTGACTATTTTTTTGTTCGTCTTGAAAATTGCCTATTGTGTTTCATGACACTTTTCGATTTAATTCAAGGTTGAATCAGAGAGAAACTACCACCAAAAGGTCCTACAAATTCTTGATCAACTTGAGAGAGAGGTACTGATGTTTTCGCATTGCATCCTTTCCATGCGTGTGCTAAAGAAACTCTACATCTTCAAGAAAAATCTAGTTGGTTCTTTATCCTGATTGAGCATTCTTATTTTTCTTCTAGATGGTATCTGAGCGCCAAAGAATTGAAGGAGCACCTCCTCCAGTGATTGAGAGTTCCATGCCTCCGCCGCCTGCATATGAAGAGGTCAATGGTATATTCATGAGGAATACAGTTGCAGAATTGGTTGAGACTGTGGAGTATTTCTTGGCTGAGGTAATTTGTTTCATCACATTGCACAAGTTTGTAGCTGCCAGGTGCTAGCTCTTGATTTTTGCCTGTAATAATCTACATATGTATTGTCATTTTTCTTTGGCAGGCAATCCAGTCATATCGAGCAGAGAGTGATACTGAGCTCAACCTTTCAGCTGGTGACTACATAGTGGTCCGAAAGGTAGTGCTTTCTCATACGCGACAGAACTTGCTCCTTACTCCTTAGCTTAGCCCAGGTGGACGGGCCATCTAGAAACTTACTAATTGCTCATGTCACATACCTGCTGCAGCCAGCTTCACACAGATTGGTTGCTCATTTGATGAGTGTCTCAATCACGTTGTACTCAAACTTGACTACTGAATTTACATAAAAAACTTTCCTAATCAGGTGTCGAACAATGGATGGGCCGAAGGTGAATGCAGGGGGAAAGCTGGCTGGTTCCCCTACGACTACATTGAGAAGCGAGAGCGTGTGCTTGCAAGTAAAGTCGCCCAAGTTTTCTAAGACTTCCGCTGAGCCATACATATCCCCGGGGATGTACAATGTGTATTATGCTTGTTATCTTCAGAGAAGATCTGTAATTTTGCTGAAAATCTGCCTGCTGGATGGCTTGTTCCGGCCTGGCCGTCTGCATTGTTCAAATTCATGTGCAGGAACTGAACATTAATGCTTATATTCATTCTTCAGTTATCCTGTCAATATATACCTATATATAATTTTTTTATTTGAAGCATGCAACAAAACGAGAAGTCAAGCACCAATTATTTATCATTCACATTGAAATCGTATTCTTTATGCCAGTGCCATTTCATCCTTATGCATTAGGTATGTTCACTATAAGCAGAAGTATGTTCAATTGGCCGAGCACTTGGTTGCCCTAAGATGGCTAATATTTGTCAAGACAATGCGCTACAAGCCTACAACGTAGACGAAATTTTACGAATTATTGTTTTTTTTTATGGAGGAAAACCCTGCTTTTATAAAGCAAATTTTACGAATTCTTGGTAGCAGTTCAAATGCAAGCTCACTCCAGTGTGAACCGGAATTTCTGTTTACTTATACATTTTTTTATTATATAAAGGCAGCTGTGTTTTGAATTGTAATCGGTTTAGACCCTATTGGTCACTGACTGGTGGGCCGAGTCCTTAATTTCTTATCCCCTTCTGCGTCTTGTTGCACTTGCAGTTGCAGCTTGCTATCCATCCCCCTGCCTCCGCGGCATCCCGTCGAGCAACCATGGCGGCGGCGGCGGTAACCCTCCTCCGCCTTCCTCTCGCCCGTATCTCCTACCACCTCCGCTCCGTACCTTCCTCTCGTCTCCCGCCCCCTCGCCTCCGTATATTCACCTCCCATCGCCTTTTCTCCTCTCTGGACCACGGCTCCGCCTCTGCCTCCGCATCTGCGGCCGTCGCCGAGGTTGTAGGCGTGACGGACGCGGAGGAGGAGTCGGTAGAGGAGGAATCTGCGGCCGAGGCTGAGGCTGAGGCGGAGGCGCCCAGGTCGTTCGTGCTCCCGCGGCTGCCGCGGCCGAAGCTGAGCGTGAAGGAGCGGAAGGAGCTGGCCTCGTACGCGCACGGCCTCGGCAAGAAGCTCAAATCGCAGCAGGTCGGCAAGAGCGGCGTCACACCCAATCTTGTCTCTGCCTTCAGTGACAACCTCGAGTCCAACGAGCTCCTAAAGGTATGCCCCCATTTGCCCACATCCTGAAATATACACCGGGAAAAGAAAAGGAAGTGAGACCAATGTAAGACTTCTTAGTTCATTGTTGCCACATGACAAAGGACTTAGTCCAGTTCCAAGCATGGCTGTCGTATCGTATGGAGGGTTCTGGCGCCACTGTGCTGCTGATCCAGGCATCCAGCTAAGCTGTCAAGTTGAAGTCGGCTGGGAGTTTGGTTGAAGAAGGAAGGTCTATGAAACTTAGGCGTGACTAGTTGGGTTTTTGTTTATACACTTTGTTATTATGTAATGCAGAAGGCGCTAAATTGCGAACGAAAAATAAAAAAATGGCAAAACTTTTATCCACATGAGTTGCAACAAGTATGAACTAACCCTGCAATTCTAAGGGGACTGCCAATCACCTTCCATTTTACTTTCCTTCTCTTTCCTGGCACTCGCTTTTCTTCCAACTCGGCAATTTAGTTGACCAAGAAGCTGGCTTGGAGGTCACTCTTGTGTATGAAACTGTGAGACTGATTGTTGCAGTAAGCATCAGTCCTTATTCCTTTATGTGTTCCTGTCAAAATCCCGTAGCCCTTCTCTTTTGTATAGCTTCATTAAGTTCTCGGTTTAGTTGGAATGAGAAACAACTTAACCATATCATTAGGTCCCACTAAACTTGATAATATGAGTTGACGCTCATGACCAATGTACACTCATGAGTATGATGCTAGAAGATTCTATAATTCACTAAGGACTCCGCTGATTATTATTCATCAATATTAGATTAAGGAGTTAGTATTGCTAACCCTAATTTCTTAAATAGGGTAGTCCAATTATCCAATGTTGAGTCTTCTATTTTGCTTAAGTGGTAAGAATGGGCAATAAATTGAACATTGTGGGCCATGGATTGTTGTGATAATGTGATGGGCTAATTTGTGTCTGTGTACGGAGATTCCACCCAATTATCAATCTTTGTATCAACACCTTTCAAGAAGCAGGGTCCTCGTGAAGAAATATGATCTGTTACTTATATGTAGTTAGATAGACAAATCATAACGTTCAAGTTTGTCATGAAAATGAAATAGGTATAATACAAGTCTAATAAAAATACTGTATTCTGACTTGCCCAAGTGTGGAAAACACATTTTTGGAATCGGGTAACTCTGTGCTGGCTGACAGTCTGACACTTATGATAAGTTGAAATTTGCTCTGTTCCAATTCACTTGCAAGAATACAATAAGACTGCAAGATTCAATGTATCTTGGGCTCTTTATTGCTTTAGTTTACATTTCCTTCTGCACCCATTCACAGCTGTTAGGTTTTTCTCACCAAGATTCCTACGCTGTAACAGCTAAAAATTCATGGGAACTGCCCTGGGGAGCTACCTGATGTGATACTTCAACTTGAGGAGTCAACAGGATCCATTGCTGTTGACCAAATTGGTCGCTCTGTTATTCTGTATAGGCCTAGCACCAGCAAGATGAAAAAGAAGCAACAAGTTGCTGAAAATGCTAGGAGATTTTCAAGACCTGAAGAAGGAAATGCTAGGCGGTTTGTAAAATCTGAAGAATCATTTGAAGAACGCCCTAGAAACAGCTCAGGCAGAAGATTTGTTGGATCTGGATCTACATTTAGGGGTCAACAGAAGAGGAGACCAATGGCATCCAAGGGGTCTTCATATGGCCGAGGATAGCAGTGGCATAAAACGCTATATTCTTGTTTTTCGTGTTATCTGGACTCCGGACCCTGGAGTAATCATGTAAAATTTTAGACAAACTAATTGGAATACAATGCTAGTGTTTAGTTCTAGTTTTGACCAGTAAATTACGGTTTCAGGTCTACTCAACTGCACAATGAAAATAGGCACAAGATACTTTATGTGTGATTATTTTCTTTCATGCAAATCAAATTCGGCAATGCCATTAAAAAAAAATCTGTCACCACGTTCAATTTGGTGACAGACTAAAACATGAAATAACCTAATTGATGCATACATCTGACCTACTCCAATAAGATTGGTGCAACATCATATTTCTCTTCCTTCCATATTCTGGAAGGGGCCCTTCAAATCTTATCACAGGAACACGGACGGCTTTCGATGTTCCGTATACCTCTTCCATCCATTCGACTGTTCATGCTTTTTGCGACTTAGTTGAACAGTTGTGTTTGTTGATGTTTCACTGTGACTGACTGGTGCAGAGTCAGTGCTTAACATCCATATTGTCCTAAGAGCACTACTAGAAATATGCAACTTTTTAGCTACAAAGTGAACTTTCCTAAGACAACTTTATATTTTTAATATAATTTCTTACTAAGCCGTTGAGTCGGTCAGCTCCAAAGCAGTCTAGACGAATGTGTGTGCACATGTGCATTTCTGTTTCTTGTGGACCGGACATACCATCGAAGAACATTGGAGCCTTTTTGGCTTGGCGAATCAACAAACTGCCTACTCAAGGTACCTCACCAAAGGTAGGCCTAGTGCCGTGTAATGTTTTCCTCTTATGGAAATACGTGTTCACGAAAAAGAATCAACAAACTGATGTCATGAATCCACTCATGATAGTCATAAATAAAACATTCAGATACTTGATTTCATCATCAGTTTGATCTCTTTCTGATTGTTTGCCTTTTGGGTTTCCCCTCTTATTATTGATGTCTTAGAGCATCTCTAAGAGTACCCTATTTCCCTTCCTAATCCTTAGTTTTTAGCAAGATAAGAAAAAATATCTCTCCAACAACTCATAATCCATGCTCCTAAAATTTACACACTTGGGAAATCCTCTTCCGTTGTGTGTAGTTGTGGTCGCGCGGATTCTGCTTTCCCGTGCATATCGGTCGGTCGATTTAATGTGGAAGGGTGTGGGAAAGAACAAGGAGTACGAAAGAGTTTCGGATGCAAACGTACGAGAGAGAAAGAATATATAAAAGTGGTTACGATAATTTAGAAATAGTATAGGATTTCTGATGTAAAATTGTCTTCTATATTTTAGGAGTGGATTATTAGAAACTCTTGGAGATGACATTTTTTTTTCTTCCAATACCTTTTTAGGAGTTGCAAAACTACATGCTTTTTGGAGGAAAAAATAGGATACTCTTGAAGATGCTCTTACTGGTTACATCATATGGTTGCTCCAATGTTTAATGGTTGTTGGTGAGAATTCTGCTATCTTTGACTTCTTTCCAGCTGTACTTGAATTATTGGTACCACGAGGTCAATTGTTACCTCCAAGTTTCAACATTATATATTTCCTCCAACATTTGTCTCTAGGTTCACATTGGTTGTTGGAATTTGAAAATTTCGTCCAAGTGTGTTTTTCGGACGGAAACCCTGCCCTGGCAGTCAGCACTCGATTTTCTGGGACCTCGTTTCACATAAACTTTTGCATCCAGGACTGGGCCGCCCTCTCTTTTCAACGTCGCCTTCAGCGACTACTGATCAGTGTATTATAAGGTTCTGTATGAAGCAAATAGAAATCTGTCAGGACTGAAGATTCCTGTAGAAATAATCACACCATTTCCAATAAAACCCTGGTGCACCAGACAGACCCTATATATGAACAACCGACAGTTCAGCAGTTTCCCTCTTTGCGGATAGAAAAAATGTGGAGATGCCACATCCACATGGCCCTTCACTCGATCTAGAGAAGATGAAACCCCGGCCCACGTGTTGTTAAACCTTCCTATTCTCTGCAGAACAACAACTACTTTCTTGAGAAAGAACCCATGACCAGACATGCTTTTCTGCGACACCCCGACACGTCTCCGGTGCTTTCTATATCTATATATACCTGCAAGGCATAACATCACAGATTAAGGACAAAGAAGCAAATGACATTGATGAACTGAACTGATGGTTGATGATGATGTCTGGTTTGCCCTTCCATTTTGCTACCGTGGGAAGCAATGCCTAAGGAGTGCCTTTTTGTGCTGACATGCTTTTAAACATACCCAGCTGCTTCCAGATTTCACTCCAGGGCACCTTTCACATAGGTGGGCTGCCACCTTCTTTTAAGCTCCAGGGTCACCTTGATAGTTGGTAAATAAGTTAATCCGTTGCTCATAGAGGCAGGGTATGCGTACGCGTGTTCATAGGAGTGAGTGCGCGTATGTGTTGTGGGCGTCTAAGTTGTACTATGTGATTCATAAAAAAAAAGCTGGAAGGGCTATATTATTTCTTCAATCTACATATATATATCTACATACCTCTATTCTAAGGACCTGTTTGGAACATAGGAATTTCACATGAATGATGTAGGAATTTAACATTAATCGGTTCAATTTCACAGAAAAAATGTAGGAACATGATAATTTTACCATAATCCAGCCCTAAGAGTGTATCAGGTGGAAACTAATGTTTTCTGTTTAAATTCCATATAGCGGAACAAAATGGCGCGGTTGTGCCTGTCCCTCTACGCGGACAACACGGTTATCTTCTAGATGCCAACTACACGAGATGTTAAAGCTATATCAGAATCTTGGGAAAATTTTGGATGTTTCAGGATTGCGCTATACAATGCCAAGGGCTAGATCTTCAGATGATCCTGCATGCAACTAAAAAATCCAGAAACTTTTCACGTCAGCAATCTCCATCACTTGGGAGATTTGAAAAAAAAAATTTTGGGAATTGGCTTGGATTGAGGGCACCAAGCGTTTAGAAGATCTGCAAAAGGAAGCAAAGAACGGAAACTGAAGCTTTGACAAATAGTGCTTGGGTTGCTTATATAAACATCGCTGGTATCACTTCGTTACAACACTCAATGGGCAATTCACCAAGCTCTGGGGAAAATACAAGGGTGCATCATGTGCCCTAGCACGACTCCATCTATGGAAGTTAAACAAACCATGGTGTGAGTACACACATCACTTTCAGCTTACCTAGCTCATCAATTCATTGGGTTCATACCCACCGACATAAAACCACTCATATCTGGACCGACATAAAACCACTCATATCTCTGGCACGTCTGGGCTTCACCCAAATGTGAATTTTTCACCTGGCTTGCCTCTTAAAACTTCCTGTGGACTGCCAACAGGATCCAAGACGAAACATCTTTAGTACATATCTTTGCACATTGCCGTCGTTCCAAACGAAATTCTGATCTCAACTTGTCTTGGCTTGCGGCTGACTTGCTACCTCCCCTGGAAAATGTACACAACGGCCAACGAATGGTAGACACACACGTGGGCTCCACGTCAAAATGCACCAATTAAAAGTCTATGGTCCTCGATCATCCTTGGTTTTTAGGAGTCATATGTAAAGAACGAAACGCAAAAAAATTTCCAGAAGAAAAGTGCTTCGCCTATTGAGCTAGCTAGTTGCAATGGTTAAGGATGAAGATTCAAGCTAGAAATAAGAGAGTTTTCCAGTGCTAGCTTATCTAGACTAGAAATCCGCTGGATAGGCGTTGTTCTATAGCTCTTTTGGTTTTTCATCACTTGGTTTTGATCTAGACCTTAAACTCTTTACATATTAATACGAACCGGACATGTCACATGCCATTTTTTACATCAAAAGAAATTAATTTCAGCCTTTTGATAGGATTGGTTTCTTTTTTTCGCGACGGGTCTGTACCCGTATTTTATTAAGGAGAAGACAAGGTCCAGCTGTTATCGGATTGGTTTCAACAACGCGACGATAATAGCCTCGTTAGATCATCAACGTGTAGTCAGACAGGCACAGTTGAACAAGTTTTGCAGTTGATGACATTTTGAAGATAAGTGGAGTGGTAGAGGAACCTTCCGTGGTCTATAATAACAATAAAAAAAAGGGAATTGCTATATTTCAGGTGCCTGAAATATGGTTTCTTTTCAGGCGACACATAACAGCTATTAGATTAACATCTGACGTCCAGAATTTGTGAGTGCTTCCTGTACACAAGCAGTTATAGCAAATCCGAAAAGAGACCCGGTAGATAGATCTGTTCATTAACGGGCCCGCAAGAAACCCCGTTAAGCATTTTGAAGTTCAACCGGTGCATAAACATGGGCCAACGTTGTCAAATTGAATTGGGCTTTCAAGATGGCCCGACAGCATAGAGAAAGCAGCAAATCTGCACCCCTGTATAACCCTGCTACAAGAAAGAACAGGTGAAGATAGACAAACCACAGAAGAAAGAGACAAGAAAAGATCGAGAAACCACAAAACAAAGAGGTCAAATAGGAGATGGAGAATGGTGAGGCAGAAAAGGATGTGCCAAATGAAAAGATACTTACATGTACAATTTGGTCTTCTCTTGAAATCATCTCCATGTCCTTGTCCTGTACTGATGGAAAGCCAACAATTTGTATTGAGTGCATCACCATTTTCTCAATTTTCATCACATTTCTGATGTTTTGTGGAGAACACTATTACCTGGTCCTGCAATTGAACTATAGTGGGATTAGTATTTGATGATTTGTTGAGGACACACTCAAGTTTACATAGAAGACATTTTATAAACTACATACAAATGAAGGCATAATCAGTTGTACTCAGTCAACAATGCACCATCTATACAATGTCAAAAAAAATCAAAGAATACATAAGGAAAATTGCACATTTATATTAATGCAACTATTACTTCTTTATAATGCAATTGTATTGTATTTGTATATGCAATTTTAAATTATCATGCACAAACAATTTCCCTTGTTAACAAGAGAACCCAAGAACACACGAGTTTCAGCTTGTATATAGACCAAAGTTTTATAGAT